ATCAACTCAGTGAAAGCACCGCCTGCTGACCATTCAGAGCTCTGTGTGCGGAGTTTAAAGCTATCAAGTGATATTACAGGATAAAGGAAATACATTTTAAACTGCCGTACGCCGACGTGTCACATCATCAATCACATCATAATATATTATATATCTCCATATCCGAGTCAGCTTCTCGAGCCGTATCTGACCGTGCAACAGCCTACAGTGTCACATACTGTATGCAGAAGTATTATTTTAACCTGTTAACCTGTTAAGCACCTAGCCTGTTTTTCATGTTTCAGGCTCGAAAATGACATGCCCAAAACAAATGACTACAACTTAACTTCTAAAAGGGTTATATGAATAATTAATTTTATCAAAGCAAGGTTACATCTGTGAGTTGGATGTAGACGTGTCAGAATCAATATAAATGTTTTTTATTTTAAAGAAAATTCAGATTTTACATAGTAAAAAATTGTAAATTATAGTGTCCGTCCAAAAATTATTTTTTACAGATAGTGAAAACTACCCTTGGATGATGGGTTAGTAGACTAAAAGCTTTAGGAATCCAAAGTACAACATATAATAAGTACCCTGTATCAAGATTGATGCAAAACAAGTGACATTTGACCTTTTTAGAGAGGTTTAGACAAAACCACCCCACCTCTGAGGTGATTTGGGTGAAAATGTTTTTTTTTCTATATCTCTGGCCCCCCTTGCTCGATTTTGATCGTTGACACACCTTTCTGACCGTTAGAGCCAATAGAATCGAAGGGGGAGGCCCACATACACACTCATTGTAAAGAGAAAAGGTGGGTGCTGCGCGTCTGGAAATCGAAAGCAGATTGGAAGAATATCTCCTTCTGGAATTTGGAAACTAAAAAGCAGTTTTATTTCTTATGGGTTATCAGAAATCATTTCAAAGAGGGCACAGATACATTGGATGAACCTATGGATTAACTGCAGCATCGTTTTTTTATCGTTTTAATGCCATTGAAGACCAGTTTTGACCAAGGTAAGCCATGTTAGCGTTTCTAGCTACTTAGCTCCACATGTTATGATGTACGCTTTCGTTTATAGTGTCGCAAATGTTTATCACTGAGTGTTGAGGAGGGCACCACTAGATTCAGTGTCTCCAGGACACCAACAACGAGTGGTTGGTTGTGCATCTAGGATAAGTAATAAGGGAGTTAGTGTGAGTTTAAGTGCCGTTTTAGGTTTTTTTTTTAGCTCATGGCTAATTCAGAGGCTGAGTGCTAGCATTGTGGGTTTTTTTTGAAAAAAAAAATTAAAAAGATCAGTTAGCTGAGTTTCTTCCCGTTACATGGATATAAAACATTCATAGTTTTATTCAATATTAAGATTCCTTAGACGTTGTTTCCTGCAAATGACGCGTTTATCCGCCCGGAACCGGGCGGGCCGTGCGTAACAGGTTAAGCCCGAGAGACCCCGGTACCGGGGTACTGCCGCAACATCTTGCAGGAAACAGTGTCTGAGGGCATGTTCATTTAATAAAACTATGAATGTTTTATATCCATGTAACGGGAAGAAACTCATCTAACTGATCTTTTTTTTTTTTTTTCAAAATAAAACAACAATGCTAACACTGAGCCTCTGAATTAGCAACGAGCGAAAAATGCTAACACCTTACTGCACCGAAAATCACTCACAAAACCTTATTATTTATCTTTTCACCACATCCAACACATCGATTCACATCGTGAGGTGACACAGAATCTTTTGACACCGACATTACCACTGAATTATACGTATTTACGATGTTATAAGCAAAGATGGACATCAAAACAGGTGACGCTAGGTAGCTAAAAATGCTAACATTTTTACCTTGGCTCTGTAGTCTCTCCAAAGTGGTCTTCAATGGCATTAAAACGATAAAAACGCTGCTGAAGTTAATCCATAGGTTAATCCAATGTGTCTGTGTCCCTTTGAAATGATTTCTGATAATCCATGAGCATTAAAACTGCTTTTCCGTTTCCAGATGTCAAAGCTAGAGATAGGTTCACTCTGATGCAAAATTACATGCGCGAAGCCCCCACCTCTTCTCTTCACAACGTGTGTGTGTGGGGGACTCCCCCTTCGATTCTATTGGCTCTAACGGTCAGAAAGAGGTGTCAACCATCAAAATCGAGCAAGGGGGGGCCAGAGATATGGAAAATCCACCCAAATGACCCCAGAAGTGGTTTATTTTTGCTAAATCTCTCTAAAAAGGTTAAATGTCACTTGTTTTGCATCAATCTTGTTACAGGGTACTTATTATATGTTGTACTTTGGATTCCTAAAGCTTTTAGTCTACTAACCCATCATCCAAGGGTAGTTTTCACTATAAGTAAAAAATAATTTTTGGACGGACACTATAATTTACAGTTTTTTACTATGTAAAATCTGAATTTTCTTTAAAATAAAAAACATTTATATTGATTCTGACTTTTCTACATCCAACTCACAGGTTTATCATTACTTTGAGAATAAAGATTATTAATTTAACCCTTTTAGAACGGAAGATATTGTCATTTGTTCTGGGAATGTCATTTTCGAGCCTGAGACCTGAAAAACAGGCTCAGGGCTTAACAGGTTAAGCAACACATTGAGTTGACGAAACACTCAACTCAAATGTAATTAAAGTCAGATCCACTCGTGTCTTAGACGGGGCAGTGATATCATAAAACTGTTAATGTACGCATTCGAACACTATTTTAACCAGCTGTTCTGTATTCACCTTGCAGGTGAAACTATGTGGCTTGTATCCTGGATTATGTGTTTAAGTCATGAATGTTTAAAGTTTAACTTCATATAACTTCATATTTGTCTAATATTATAGTTTACTTTTCATTCAGGAAGTATGACGCTTCGCTGTCAGTATGCTTGTCCCTGTTTGTGATTGGTCAAATGTTGCTAGCCCCGCCCCTTTCATGTGAACGCGCTCTCAGCTGGACAGAGAAACCCTGGGTTGATTTACCGAGTTGATAACCAGCGTCATAGGACCGCTTAGCGAGATCTTGTTTGTTTTGGGTTAGTTAAGATAACTCAAACCTATCCAGGGTCTGTTGAACTGGCTTTGGGCACTGGTGGCTGCATAGCAGCGCTAATGTGAAAGACACAAACATTATACATTAGATTTTTACCAATTTTGCAGTGACAAAAATATTTGGGAAGGCTTCCCTAGCCTACAGTACCCGCCGCCCCTTTTGTCCACCCTTCAGACCAGGGGTGGACATTTTACGGCCCGCGGGCCACATCCGGCCCGTTGGCCGGCCCGTGTGAGGTTGATCATAAATTATAACATAATAAAAAAAAACAGCAACCTTTTCAAAATAAAAGCAACACAGCTGTATTGCTTGCATGGCGTAAATACTTTTCTAACTGTGTTGCTTTTATTTTGAAAAGGGCGCTGCTGTTTTTTAAATTTATTTACGTAAACGTGCATGCCGTGAACAGCTACGAGTGATGCTGGCCGGCTAGTCCTCGAAATGTCCGCTAAGGGCAAAAAAAGAAAGATCGATACTGAATGCCGCATTTTCAACAAGACATGGACCGCTAAGTATTTATTTACAGAAGTGAAAGGTAAAGCTGTGTGTTTAGTTTGTGGTGCGCAGGTCGCTGTGTTCAAGGAGTACAATTTGAGTCGCCACTATGCTACCAAACACGCAGATAAATACAAGAACCTGTCTGAGGAAGAGCGGGCAAAGGGGTCGGATGCTTTGCAAGCTAAGCTGCAAAGCCAACGACACATTTCCACAAAACATTCCACATCCAGAGATGCAGCTGTCAAGACGAGTTATGTCTTATCCCACAAAATTGCAAAAAAAAGTAAACCGTTTTCGGACGGAGAGTTCATTAAGGAGTGTTTGTTGGACTCTGCCGCACTAATATGCCCGGAGAAAAAGGAGGCATTTGAGAAAGTGCCGCTCTCCCGACGCACTGTTACGAGGAGAATTGAGGACATCGCGGGAAATCTGGAGCTTCAGCTGCAGAACAGAGCGGTCAACTTTGACTTTTTTTCCTTGGCTTTGGATGAGAGTTGCGATGTACGTGACACTGCCCAGCTACTCATCTTCCTACGCTTCTCTCAAGCCAAATGGAGGACAACATTCTCGCGCACTTGCCAACACTGAAGGAAGCCACACCATCAGCTGATCACCTCCAGAGGTACTCATCCATGTTAGAAGCACTGCATGGTGAGTTTTCAAGGCGATTTAAAGACTTCAAAACAGTTGAGAATGAAATGAACATGATATTTTCCCCATTTACATGCCATGTGGATGATGCACCCAGTGATGTTCAGCTTGAACTCATTGACCTGCAGTCTGACACACTTCTGTCAGAGCACTTTAGGTCAGTCTCACTGCCTGAGTTTTACTTTTCCCTGAAAGAGGAGAACTTTCCACACATCAGGAGACGTGCTCAGAAGATGAGGGTCCTCTTTGGATCTACCTACATATGTGAACAGACATTCTCAGTGATGAAGTTCAACAAATCCAGATACAGATCCTTTATCACTGATGATCACCTCTCAGCTGTCCTTCGCATATCCACCTCAGACATTGAACCAGATTTCCGTGCACTTGTTCAAGCCCAAGACAGACTGGATTTTTCTCACTGAACAAGTAAAATTAACTGAAAAACAAAAATCAAAAGCACTCATTTCTTTTTGTATAAAGCTGATTCATTTCTTATCTTTAACATACTGTAAAACACCTTTTCAGTATTGGTATATTGAGCAGAATTAAGTTCAACTTATTTTTGATTCGGCCCCCCAACACAGCTCGAGTTTCTGAAGTGGCCCCTTGTAAAAAATAATTGCCCACCCCTTCTCATCTCATTCATGTAGTATTGATTTTAGTTAGCATATTAGCATGTTGTTAGCATGCGGTTAGAGCAGCTGCAGCTGTTATTATCAATAATATATATAACTTAACAATAAACACGTTAGAGAGATGAGTCTGAGGTGAGAGCAGAGATCAGCTGAGAGTCATTTCACTCTGAAAACTGTCACTTACCAAGAGTTTAACGACGAGGAAAACTTCTGCATCAAAACGGGAACAAAGTGAAAGTAACTTCTGACACCGGAAGTCCCCACGGAGAACAGGAAGGGAGATAAAGTGATGTGAATCATTAGCTGTACATCAGCTCCATCCTGTGGCAGCATATGGTATCATATCAAAATAGTTTTTTCATTTAAAAAATGCTTTTTATTAAAGGTGGGGAAGGTAATTTTGGAGAAACCAGCTCGATTTTTTGTCAAAGCACTTAAGATATTCATTGCTATCGGGATGTTAAGAGCATTCCATGGAATATAACAAAAAGTGTATCTCGAGCCGGTTTCTCAAACTTACCTACTCCACCTTTAAATAAAAAATATTATTTATCCAAAGCTATGGTGGCCCGTCAGGTGAAAACGCTCAACAACGGCCAAAAACGCATACATATGCAGGAAACACCTGCAAATAATGAAATGAAAAACAAACAAACCCTGAAAACAAACACAACAAAAAAACGCTGCATTTACAGAAATTATGCAAACTCAATACAACACACAAACCCCGAAAACAAACGCAAAAACACATACACAAAAAACATACCGGAAGTGCTCCAGGCCTCTAGGGGGCGCGTTATGTGGAACAGATTGATGTCTGACCAGACATAGAGAGAACGAACGAGAGTGATGGGCTGCTTCTCAGGTCGATTAAATGGATTCCTTGCGTCCCTCACTTGCGTCGTTTCCCTGCGACTAGTCCCTCCCACCAGGGAAGCACGAGAGATACCACGAGAAGCAGGGAAATGAGTTTTAAGAGCAATGGGACGTCCTTTCCTCCGGAGCGTCACGTGAAGCGATGTCCGTTTGTGATGACTCCGCCCAGCTGATCGTCTGACAGCAGCTCTGTCCCCGTTATTTTCACAAACACCCCCGCCTCTGTTAATGCCCCTTTCACACCAACGCAACTCCGGTTCAAGCTCCGTGCTAGAGCTTTTCAGGTTCAGAACCGGTTCTTCGGTTCAGCTCCCGCTCTTTTCACACCGCCCAGAGTCCGACTGGTGCTGCGTCATTGCGTCATCATTTGCGTCATGACGTAACCGTTTGCGTGCCTGCTTCATAAAGCCAAACCGCGCGGAAACCCCTCACATCGACAACAACAATGGCAGATTGTATTGAAGCGCTACTCGTTGTGGTTTTGCTCTGTCGAAACGAAATGGAACAAATGGTACAAATGGGACGACTTTACTACCAACTTCATAGTCGTTACATGTTACATTCAAGACTTCTTTACAATCATCATCATCAACTTCAACGACGATCCGTTAGGAGAAAGAAGGTAAATATACGTCCTATTCGATGGCGTTAGAGCTAGCTGTTGTTAGCCTCTGCATGCGCCAAGCTCAACATACCCAGCTTTGCAGCATTAATTACTATGGTATAACATTAAAACTGATTCTCAATGTTATTTCCACAGATCATGTTGAAGCTGGCGGAAAGGCGGATGTCGCGTGTTATTTGGACACAGCCCAGATCTTCCGACTGGTGGGACACCATTGCTTCAGACTTCTCCTCTCTGCAATTCATGCAGAATTTCCGCGTGTCCAGGGAGTCCTTTGACTACATCTGCAACCAGGTCAGCGGCGTTTTGGGGAGAAGAGACACAAATTACCGTCTGTGTATACCCAATAGAAAACGTGTTGCAATTGCCCTCTGGAAGCTGGCCACCGGAGGTGAATACAGGACCATCAGCCATCTTTTCGGGGTAGGCCTAAGCACCGTTTGCCTCTGTGTTCAGGATTTCTGCAGGGCAACCATGGAAATGCTGCTTCCACTACATATCAAATTTCCTGATGTGGAGAAGTTGGTGGAAATGGCCACTTTTTTCAACAGCCGTTGGAGAGCACCACAGTGTGTTGATGCAATAGATGGAAGCCACATCCCTATTTTAGCACCACAAAAGTATCCCAAGGACTATTATAACAGAAAAGGATGGCATTCTGTTGTTCTACAGGCTGTTGTTGATGGCAGGGGGATGTTCTGGGATGTGTGTGTTGGCGACCCAGGTAGTGTACATGATGCTAGAGTGCTAAAACAATCCAATCTTTGGGTGGCTATCAGTGATGGAGTGTTGCTAGGCCAAAACAAAATGACCATCTCTGGCTGTGATGTGGGACATTACCTGATTGGTGACCCAGCCTATCCAATGCAAAGATGGCTAATGAAACCATTTTCGGACACTGGGAGACTGACCCCTGAACAGCACACCTACAACTACAGGCTGAGCAGTGCACGGTCGGTTGTTGAGATGGCTTTTGGAAGGCTAAAAGGAAGATGGAGGTGCCTCCTAAAAAGGAACGACTGCGAGCTGGAGCTCAGCAAATTAATGACAGTGACTTGCTGTGTACTACACAACATATGTGAGGCACATAGTGACAACTTCACTGAAGATTGCCATGAACGTGTTGTGTACAACCAACCCCCTTTACACCCCTTTCCAGATAATGGTAGACAAGAAGGAGCTGACGTTAGATCCGCATTGATGGACTATTTCAACATGGAGGACCACTAATATTACTGCAGTTAAACCTGATCTATTTTGTATCATGTCTCTTATTTTTTTTATTACAATAAAATCACTGGATCACACTTCAATTGTGTTTATTTTGTATACAAATCACAGAATCTAGATACAAACAGGTATGAACAATATTCTTATAGAAAAAGTGCATACCCAAAGTGTTTAGACTACATTCTTATAGAAAAAGTGCATACCCAAACGGTTTAGACTATATTCTTAACTCAAATACACAGTGGGCCAAAATTAAAAAATCGGTACTAGTCGAGGGCCGGACTGGTTCAATGTTTATTGCAAAACTCATTGCCCATATTAAACATGGAACTAATAAAGCTTAAATGATTGTAATAATGGATAACACTGGTAAAATGAGTTGATCTAATTGTATCATGCCTATCCTTTTTCCCAATAACATCAATGGATCAGACATGACTTTTGTTTATTTTATATACAAATCAAAGACAAGTATATTCGTATATAAACAAGATTTATTCCAAAAAATAAATAAGCAGTCAACTAGCCAACCCATGACTGCTCTCTGACCTTTGACCCTTCTGAGGACATGACATCGCAGGATACAAGTATTAATACATTTTTCTGTTATGGCATTTTCTTAATGGACATCATTCGACCACCACCGGGTGGCTGAACACCGTATTTGAACATTAAGAAAAAGAGCATATTGACATTCTTTTCGTTTGTTAAGATGTTTTGGTATGCATTTTAAATATAAATTAGAGATGTTTAAATCTACTACTGTAACCTCTCCCAAAAATGAGTTCAGTATTTTTATGTGTATTTATGTGTGTGCAATACAGAAACATTTGGAAGATCAAAATGTAAAAATTGAGCTTGCTTTAGTTCTGGTAATGTATATACATTGTGAAAAACAAACATTGAAATTGCTATTCTTGCTATCAGAGGAATTAAGAGTTTACGTAAAATCCAGTATATGAGCTACATTTGTTTGCTATGAGCTAAGTCATAATGTTTGAATTGTCCAATTTCAATCTATAATACTCATTTAAATGTAAAGAAAAGCAGAGCAGCTTACACTTTGCATCGAGATATGTTTGCCTTTTATATCATTGAAATAAGAAATAAGAGAATGTAGCATATATGTAATATATGAAAATTCAAGACTATTGTGTAGTGCATGGGGGGGATTATTGTAAGTAAGATTATATGAAACTATAATATCAGACATAGGACTTTTGTGTATTTTATATACAAATCAAAGACAAGTATGGACAATATTCGTATATAAACAAGATTTATTCAAAAAAAGTGTGGAGAATATACTTTATATACTATAATAATGTGGAAAAAACAAGAATGTGTGTAAAAAAAAAGGTATGAACAAAAAAAGTAGGAACTATTTACATAAAATTACAAAAAAAAAAGTCAGCGCTTGTTGGTCTCCATCACCTTCACAATCCTGTCTACCAAGCCAAGCATTGAGTGGCTGTTCTCCTCAATTTTGCTGAACACCTTTAGGAAGTCAGCATTGGCAGTATTGGCAGTATGCACCTCCTGAAGCATCACCTGGCCCTGCTCCAGTAGCCTTTCATCCCTCACGTCACTTTTCTCCATATAACTCAGAAGGCCAGATGACAAATCCCGCTTCCTTTTAACTACAAAGGGAAAAATAATAAAGTCAACACAGTATTCATGACATTTTATGAGATGTATATTATATACTGTGTAATGAAATGTTGTATTGTTATTATGGCTGCAGTTGCATAACTTGAACAACTACTACAATGACTATGCCATGATAAATGCACATGGAAACAGGGAACAGTATTACTATAATGATCACTGTAAACCTTACCCTGTTTGTTTCGGCCCGCTGGCTGGATTAGGTTCACCAGACATTCCTGGGAAGAGCTGCTTGCCGTAAGAGGAGACCCTTCCATCCGCATGGGCGAGCTGCAGGCCGACGGTAGTGGTGGTTCCGACACAGTACGCTCCAAACCAGATATTTGTGTAAACACAATATAAACACAATGAATAAAAGTAGCCCTTCAACAAATCATAAATCGTTAGTGAGAAGAAAGAAGATACATTGGAGGCGTTAGCTGTCTTTGCCATGGGGATACCTTTGTTTATTTTGTTAGCATTAGCATGCTAGCGCTATTATTGGTTTGGATGCACATCCGGTAGCTGTAGTAGCTAAACTTTAGCTTTATTGCCAGGTCTGTCGATAGCTAGATGGTTGTAAAACAAAAAGTCACAAATAAAACAAATCGGTAATGCATAACTCACCGGCAAATGAGCTCTGCACATTCAGCGACTCGACCTGCGACACAATTGACGAGAGAGAAAGCGAGTTAACCGTCGATCCATAACCACTCGTCGGTCTGTCTCCGAGGACCGAGTCTAGCAACTCATAATGTGGACTTGCTTTAGGACGACCGCTGCCACTCCGTCCGAGGTCTCGCTTTTGGTCCCGATAATCCTTCTTCACCTTCTTCAATTTGTTGGCAATCTGCTCAACTGAACGGTCAAA